AAACAGTAAAGCCCTTGATGAAGTTTCTACCACTGGTGTGACTGTTACCGATAATAGGATATTTCCTGATGGAGCAGATGAACCCCACGTGAAGCAGAAGCCAACGAGACGGAGACCAGTACGGAAGAACATACGTCCCGTAAAATTAAGAGACTTTGTTGAATTTTAATTTTGTGTTTGTGAATGCTGTACATTTAATTAAGTTATTGTTAATTATCTATTAGTTTAATGGAAGTGGCTATTGTTCTGGACGAACAATACTAAGGAAGGGGCAGTGTTACGACAGCGGAAGTCACGCGATTGGGAGCATGCGCGCTGGAGTTTCTAGAAGGATCATGACTTATCAAGGAACCTCACGAATGTCCGAGTGTTTGCCAGGCGCCCTCTTTTTTTAGTATATAAGCCCGGCAAATAAAGCCAGCGAGTAAGATAGAATTGCATGGATAGATAGATACTTGAGTCAAGCGAACAGTAGGCACCTTAAGTAAAGTGTGTGAATCACTGTGAATTATAGCGTGTGTTTATAAAAGTAGGTAAGTTAAAGTAACTGTGGGAATTCTGTGTATTACAAAGTTGTATCGTGAAAGAATAAACTAGTTTTATTTAAGAAAGGACTTGTATCGCTGAAGCTCCTCAGAAAGAATTTATACCGGAAATTAACAGATGAACAGAGACGTAACAATAACAAGAGAAAGTACAATTAGAATAAGTTTTAAATTTCAATAGGAAACTATATTGGATAAATGTTAATTTATTTTGAAGCATTTTTTATATACTAATTTATACATGGAGTGTATAATATGTCTGTATTGTTTGAAAATATATGTATTTATAATTTAGTTTATTTATGGTTAGTTGAAAAACGGTATTTGAATGCTTTCGTTATAGATTGTCGATTAAATTATAATAATTTTATATTCTGAAGAGTGACCTCTGAAGTCACGAAACCGGTTGAAGAAATTGATATAGGAGAGAGAGAAAAAAAATAATAATGGTATGATAATATCATATTTCTGGTGTTTTAGTATTCGTATCCAAAGGTGAATCTTACTGGTGTTTTGGTTATGTATATTTCCGCGCCTAGGCTTTGAACCCGAGACCTTTCAAGTTTCAGTCCAAATACCATTACCAGGCAAGTGCTCTTCCAACAGATCTAGGCTAAAGCCTAAAGATGAGTAAATGTTAACCCCTATATAAACTTTGTTTTAACAACTGTAAGTTCTAACTACTACAAAGCTTCTGATTATTCTAAAAACGATCCACGTTGTCAAAATCAGGATTTCTGACTCTCTCTGTTAGTGTTAGGCCATGCATGATGCAGAACGTCTGAAGTGAAAGGTTTTTTGTTAAGCTCCAAGTTACACAATGGGCTATTTCAGTATTTGTGCCCTGCCCACTGTAGGCATTGAAACCAGATTTATGGTGTTATAAGCCCTCAGATTTACTGCTGAGCTACTGGGGGGCCGTTTAGAAAGGAAACCGTAACTGTTTTTTTTAACATCTTCAAATTTAATTAAATGTGATAGTGAATTAGGGGAACTAATAAAGTGATTCTTAAACGTTAAACAGTAAAAAAGCATTAAAATTTAAAGTTTGTTTGTTTATTTATTATTAAGAATGGGCTATCTGTGTTGTGTCCACCATAGATATCGAAACCTAGTTTACAATATTATAAATCTTTAAACTTGCTGCTGAGAAATTTTACTTTCAGTTTCAGAGAACAGGTTAAAATAATAACTAACTAACTAACTTGCTCTTTGATAGTTCATTATCCATTACTAAAAGTAAAAACAACAGCATAATTTCAATAACAGTTGTGTGTTCAAACATTAAATGAATGCTTTTGTATTAGGTGCATAATTTAGAATGTGAACAGGGTGACACAGGCAACTATATAAGGTCAGAATACTAAATTCTCAGGGGCTCCAGTATGAGTAGGGGTACAGCCAGATAAGTAAAAAATAGCATGCTGTTTCTTTATAATTAAAATTATTTGTAAACAATGTACTCAAAGGTGTGAGTTTCTAACAAAGTACTAGTCTATATGTATATAAGCCACACTCCATACATTTTACTACATACACAATTCAAGAAATCAGACTAATCTTAACTTATTAAAGTTGTATGTGCAGTGCCTGTGGAACTAGAAGCAGATTTACATTCAAGATAAAAATATATTGTATACTGAGGATGTAGACTTGGATGAAAGTCATGCCTAGAACAGTAGAAGATGGGCAATGTAAGTTTAATTATAATTTATATTAGGAACGAATGTATTGTTATGATAGACCTTTAAGAGATGGAAGTGGTCATTTGGACAAGTTATGCTTATTCATGTACATATTAAATATGAACTACTACTTACCCCTGGTTACTCAGTGATAAGTGCATGGGTTGGT